GTGCATATTGCATATTGTGGCCCGACCTCATGATCTTTATATATCGACCAAGGGCCATCACTTTGCCAAATTGAAGGATACCTGGTCTCAAAATTACCCTTGGGGCAGCCAACTAGTAAAAAAAAAGGGTGTCGGCCCCATTTTGGAGACAAGGAATCAAAGTCAAAATGTAATCTGAGCGTAGAATGCATTGACAAACAGCACACAGTCAGAAGCAGCCTGAGGTGGATGCCAAGAGCAGAGGAACATATCTGGTTTCTAAGCATGACTACTACTTAGTAAAGCTTCGCAGTTACTGCTTTTCGAAGTACTCCCTTCTGCCACTGCCTTTTAAACCAAACACTTGGATACGCAAGTACGAAGAGTAACCTTTCCAAACTTTTGAAGCTAAAGTAAGGAAAATGCTACTATAGGACTTTTGCTTCAAAACTTGAGAGCAGGCGGAGGCGGACTAGTGTAGTGGGAGAGGAGTGGTGTCAAAATGCTGCGCTCCTAAGATGATACACCAAAAACGTTTTTGCGCAGTCTAAGATGATTTTATCCAGAGCATGACTGCATGATACGGTGTCTTGTGCAGCGTGAAATGATGCACAAAAAGGGGTTTATTTAAAACCCCTTTTTTAAGACCCCTTGCAGCAACTGTTATTGAGGCTGAAGCAAACCAATTATGCGGAACTACAGGGACATCTCCCTCATGGAGAGTGTGCCTCTACTGTGGCGGACCGTGACCGCGTCACCCGCGGGAATTGAACCCATGACCATTTTCGGGGGGGGGCCCTTATAATTGATATTTAATACATAACGGCTAGAATTCCACGTTTTGCCCGGGCTGGCCCCCCAATACCCCCTATGCTTGTGCTGAAGCACGGAGAACTCAGGTAGCTGACGCTACCTTTCGTGACTTCTTATGGCAATCATGCGTCAAATGTTGTAAGGTGCAGAAGTGCACAGAGCATCGCAGAGCATGACTGGGGACCAAGCCCTTCCAGCACAGGACTGGGCAAGCGCGAAGCTTCTAATCTGCTTAGGAATGAGTTGCCGAAATGGCTCAGCCTTGCAGAGTCAAGACAAGGAATGCAAGAAGAATGCCATGAGTATGTAAGGAGAACCGAAGGCGTAGTTCTTGGCAGCAACCACTTTCTCCGAACTCTGGCAATGATTGAAGTGAATTGAAGTGAATTGAAGTGAATTGAAATGAATTTGAAGTGAAATTGAAGTGAATTGAAGTGAATTGATTGATTCTAGCCTAATATTTGTACTAGTCGGTAAAACGGTTTTCTTTATGGGACCCCCTCCAAGAATATCACCCCAAAATGGCCTATTTTGGAATAGGCTATTCGGGTGCTTTGTGATATGTTTGCAATGTCTTCTTCACAGTGCTTGGCCATTTTGCTCATTGCTGATGTTACCCTCTAATTTAGATTTCCCTCAAAACTGCGCAGTACACAACTTTATTTTGCAGAAAAAGGGTTTCTTGCCATGTTTTCTCCAACTTTTTGTGCTTCAAATCGTGCTCCAGATCGGTTCTTTTCGCGTTCAACTTTTTGTGCTTTAAATCGTGCTCCAGATGGGTCTTTTTCGCGTGCAACTTTTTGTGCTCCAAATCGTGCTTCAGATTGGTCTTTTTTCGTGCAACTTTTTGTGCTCCAAATCGTGCTCCAGATGGGTCTTTTCGCGTGCAACTTTTGTGCTTCAAATCGTGCTCCAGATGGGTCTTTTCGCGTGCAACTTTTTGTGCTTCAAATAGTGCTCCAGATGGGTCTTTTCGCGTGCAACTTTTTGTGCTTCAAATCGTGCTCCAGATGGGTCTTTTTGCCTGGGATGTTTTTTTTGTCCAGGAGCTTGGATAAATCATTTGGTTTCATTTTGCATGTTGCTCCCGCTCTGTCATTGCTTGCAAAAAAGTTTTTTTTTTGCAGGCCGCGTCATTTAGCAACTGGTTGAACAAGCTGAAAAAGTGTGCTGCACATGCTGCATTTTTATCTCTTATTTTTGCTCAATTCTTCGTGCAACTTTTTGTGGTGTAAATTGCGCCCACTGTTACAGGCAATAGGAATGAATTGAAGTGAATTGAAGTGAATGTAAGATAATGTAAGTGACTCGAAGTGAGCCGCTGAGCCCTGCACTGAGTGAACGGAAGTTCATGGTCTACCACTAATGCATTTCCGGGCGTCCTGGCCATTTCAAAGGTGCCAGGCAAAGGACCGTTGGTATGTGCACATGCTGAACCCTGGATTCGTTCCAGAGTTCACCTTTTAGTTATTAATGATCTACACAAATATCATCAAATACTATCAATTGTCGCGAAATATCAATCTTGCTATGCCTACCCTCGAAGAAACCAGACAAGCCACTCAAATAAGTAACCAGGCCCGATATTCATTGACGAAGTTGAAATACGGGTGGACACAGAGACAGCTGTTTGCTGAAAGCTCCAACATGCTCCGGCAAACATATACAAGCATGCCAAGAAGACGTAGAATCTGACTCTCCATGTAGTACGCACACAAAGCGATCAGTCGTGGGTTCAGGACCAATTCTCATTCCAGGAAAATCACGTTGGAGCAGGTGACGGATGAATGTAGTCTTCCCTCAGGATAGCAAAAAGATGCAGAGGTTGTAGGGGGGTCATGTAGAAAGAATTCAAGCGCAACAAGCCGATGAAGCGATAGTGAAATATCGAAGCAATCGAAGCTGACAATAACCACAGCCTGTCGAGTATTGGCCCATGAGCAAAATCATGGGTGCAGATGCAAAATCCGCATCCTAAGTCCAGGTGCTCAAACACAAATCCTGAAAACCTGGGATCAAAGGCGCCAGAAAGATATAGTTCTAATATTGCACCAATATTCAATATTGCAAGATGTGACACGATTCATGATGCGACTTCTGAATTTCTGAATGCTTCTCAGCGTCCGTGAGCTCAGGCGAATAAAACTGATGAAAAAGATGATCCTTTTCAATGGGCAGAAGCTTGGTGCGGTAAAATTCTTGCAGACCAGCTGTCACAGAGTCATACATTTGCGATGCCTGCAGCAAGTCCAGCTCAAGAAAGCTTCCCCGCTGAGCAATGGTTGCACATCGCTGCGCAGAGTGACAAGTCCCCCGCACAACTGAACTGAACTTCTTGGTATGCACAGTAGCTACGTCGTTGTCCAAACACATCATGACCACGAAGAATGAAAATCCAACTGCTCCACATGCAATTTAAGTTCACGTTGTACTTTAAAACAATTGCAGCGTTTGACGCACATTTCAGTCCCAGCCCACCCACCAAGCAGGCTACGCCTTTTTGCGGGTTGCCTTTGGTCTGTCTGCCTTGCATGGCAGCTGTGCTTTGGCCTTGATGGCCTTACTTCAATTCAAACCTAAGGCATTACCAGCCTTTCTTTTGAAGGCTTAAAGCTTCAAGCTTGGCGCCCACTCTCTTGCTCCTTTGACTCCGTCGCGCTCACTCAATATCCTGAAGCATTTCTTGCAATCTGTAGTTCCTTTGCTTGGCCGCTTGGCCTTTGCGTCAACTCCACTTTGACATTCCGTCGGGCAAAGTTCCAGCCACAGATGGTTGCCCATGAGTCCAGCGGGATGCCCCATGACGCTTGGCCCACCACGTGTTTCGTCCAAGTGCCCCTTGATCTCGATACCACAGACTGGGCCCTTTTCTGGCTCATCCACCAGATGTTTCGGTGGGCTCTCTGGTGAGTTGTCTTCTTTTCGAGCTTTCTTGGCTGAGGCTGATGACTTCGGCCTCAATACTCTTTTGTTTGGGCTGGCCTCCATGGATTTTGACTCCAGTTCCATGCCGTCTGTCGTGGTGTTCATTGGTATTTCCGTCATTGCTTCTTCTATATACCTGAACACGGCTGACGACTTCCATCTCCCCAGGAACTGTATTGCCTGCACGCTCATGCCCTGTCGGGCATACTTCATGGCTCCCGACCTCCTAGCTGAGTGGCCCGTCATTTCTTCATCGATGTGTTTCGTCCAAGCTGTCACCATGTGGATCTTTGACCTGGGACCTCCCTTGCTGTCAGGGAAGAGGGGGGTGTCGGCCGTTGCTCCTTTCAGGTCGTTAAGTGCCCTGATTGCCAGGTCGAACGGGCAGTCTCTTTTGCACTCCTCCAGGCCGCAGCATCTCAGCGTTCTCCACGTGCCCACTCCTTTCTGGTCCGTCTTGGACTTTCTCACATTTAGTCTGACAACTTTGCTGTCAGTCTTCACCATCACGTCCTTCGCCTTGACGTTCGCTGCCTCGATGGCCCTCAGCATCCACGTGACAGCCCAAGCATAGTTCTCAGAGTCCCACGCATTGTGCATGGAGGCATCTAGCTTGACCTCCTTCGCTCTTACTTCGGGACCTTTATCTCGCTGCATTGCTCTCCGGCATGCTCCAAACTGTCTGTCCAGCATCTGGCTCCACTCGAATCCTCCCTCGATGTCTTCTCTCCCCCCAATAGTGGATCTGATGTGCGCACCCTGGTTCAGCCTACTTTTGCCAGCTGGGATGCGTCACAAACTGTCATACACCCCGTTCGAGTGCGGGATGTGCTGGATCCACGGGCTGCCCTCCATGCCTGGGGGTCGCATGAAGAGGCTGCGCTCTGAGAGGGCGGTCGTACGCCGGAGCTTGACCTGCTGGAGTGGGCATTTCTCCTCGATCTCCTAGCCCCGACAGCCAGCGCGATGTGTTGCGGCACCAGGCGGACCATCTGTGACTTCTCAATGGGCAGGGCTATCTCGGCTGCTATGTAGTTCAGCGTCTTTGTAGGTGACGACAGTTTCTTTGACATTGCCAGTGCGACTGTGCTGTCGCTTCTGATGACGATTGCCGTTTTCTGCAAATTTCGCTGCCCACAGCTGTAATGCCCTCAACACTGCCAAGGCGGTCCAAGACCCCGACGCCTCCATGAACTGTATCTCCAGTGCGGCGGCTTGATGGGCCTGGATGGGGGCCTCAAACGCCTCCATGATATCCCACCTTGTGGATAAGCATGCCCCCGATGCCTCTCGGCGATGCATCCGTGACCACACCCCATACCGGGGTTCACTTCTTGCATTCTTGCAGGCTCTCATGCCTGATCTTCGGGGCTGTCAAATGCGGCTTTGAGCCATGGTAGTGTTGTTCCCAAGCCGTTTCACGGCCACCAGACCGATCTTGGACCGTTGGTCGTGTGGGCGTTTACGAACCCTTTCCTCCTCCGAAGCTTCCTCCTTGAGGGCCTTTGTGAGGACTGCATAGAGGGTTGCGACTGTCCATCGCAACCTGGGCACGATGCCCGACACCCATGCTAGCTTGCCCAAGAAAGACCGTAATTCTTTGGTTGCGATCATACCTTTCCCCGTCCAAGCGGCCAGTGTCTCTTGGTTCTCCATGACCAGCTTGCGGGGTGTCCCCAAGATCACCTCGTTGGGCTGTAGCTCGAAGGTGGTGCCTATCCATGTCACGCGCTTTCCTCGTTCACCTTTGCCCATGGATATCTGGACTCCGAAGGCCGACAGCACGTACAGCACCTTCGCCAATTGGAGGTTGCGCAGCTCCTTGCATCCCCTGATCGCGAGGGCCACATCGTCGATGTACACCTGGGTCTGACCTCCTGCAGGGTGAAAGAGGGACTACATCAACCTGCCGATTGCTGCACTGAGCCTGCCCATGATAAGTGGGGCTCCTTTGAAACCGAATAGCATAGCCACTCACAGGATGGCTGTGCCCATTTCCATTCCCGGGCTGGCGCAATGCTTCAACTACACCGGATGGACGCCGAAATGGCAGAAGGCGTCTTGCAAATCCAACAGGAAGAACTCTACCTCGGCTCCGTCATAGGCCCGAGAGCCCTTCAACACTGGGGTAAATTCCCGATTCCGGGATCTCCATGTCCATGCCCAGTGGAACTCCTTCTCTGGCCCATTGACCCACGAACTGCTCAGGATCTCTTGAACAGACCCTCCATGCGTCCCACAATGGCGCATGAAGCGGTGATACGAACTCTACCGCCTCCTTTAGAGTCACCCCATCTTGTGGCTCCACTCCCAAAAGGCTCTCCAATCTGTCTCTCCATGCTGCCAACGTTGCCTCGTCGATCTTTGTCTCTTTCGAGCCATAGTGGATCGCAGCATCCAGGGCCTTTGGGTGGTCTTTCAAAAAGTCCAACCATGCCGCACTTATCTGCTCCCCCGCTTTTCTCACCTGGTGCAAACTTGCCACGGCCACTGCTGGATTGCGCATCCCTCCAATCGCAAAATCATTCTGCTCTTCTTTCCTCTGTCGTTTGGAAGGTCCCGCTGATGAAGATGGGAGTTCCTCTTTCTCCTCGCCCTTGGCTTCCACTGCTTTTGAGACCGCCTTGTCGTGTCACTCGACAACGGATTTGTCGTCACTGGGGCTGCGTCATCGTAGTCTCTCTTTCGCTTGCGCTCCTCGTTCTTCAGCCACTTTGCCTGAAGCTCGCTCACCTGTGACGACCTTTGCATGACCTGCCATCTGAGCCATTCCAAGTTGAGCACCCTCTTCCACGTGTTCACCACCTTGCGTGCTACCTCGGTGGTCAGCTCCTCTGGGTAGGCTCCAGCTGCCTCTGTGTTCTGCTTGCCCACAAGTGGCACGTGCTCTACCCAAGCTGGGCACTTGCAGACATTGGAGAGGGTGTTCATGGATTCCAGTTTTCCTACCCACCTTGCAGGTTTGTACCACCTCTTTCTCAACTTGCTCTGAAAGGCGCACGTGTTGAACTCAACCGAGGAGGACTTTGTCTCGGAGATGACTGCCTTCACTTCAGGCACGTCCCAAGAAGACCCTGTGTTCTCTGCCCCCGGAGGGTTCTCCAATGTAGATACCTCCGGAACGGCCCTCCTCTTGCAGGTTTCTATCTGCTTCTGGTGCAACCAGGCTGATCGTGTAGCCATCCGTTCCCTCATCAGCTTCCTTCTGCTGCATGGGGGTGTTCCCGGGCTCCGCACTGGATGAGCTCCTCCAGGTGAGTCTTTCCAGCGTACTCGGCTAAATGAGCCGCATGGGAAACCGCTATGAAAGCCATCCCATTCACCGCTCATGACTGACTTGTCAATCTCGTCATAAGTCGCGTGGCTTGCCAGGTTCACCTCAGCATCTTTCTTGCGGTCCAGGGACTCCACATAGACCTCCAGCCGCGCTGCTCGGGCTTCCCTCTTTATGGATTCACCAAGTTGATCTCTTTCTCCTGAGAACATGTGGAGGTACCTGAAGTCTCTGTTCTTTCTATACTCATCGAAGGTGTTGCTTCGATCAGCGCCTTTTGAACCCTTTCTGGGACCCAAGGCTTCGGTGGGTCGTCTGATCCTCCAGCGCTTTCGGCCACGTCACCAGGTGAGGCTTTATCTCTCTCGTCAGCGGCCTTCTCCTGGGTGACCTCTTCTTGGTTCGGCTCTACGACCTTTGTCTCCTGTTTGATTACGGCCGGCTCTGCCTTCGCAGGCTCTTTGCCTGGCTGCTCATCGCCTCCATAGTCGGGCGACGACTCGCCATCAAGGGCGTCTTCGGCCTCCTTCATTCCGCCTACCGTTTGGCCGGCAGAGAAGGCCTGCTGCAGCCTAGTGGCTGCGCTATCAACAAAGCAAGCTGTGTTTGCAATTCAACTTCATTGCAAATCTCTGTCAAGTTATATTCAAACAGCCTAGCATGTTCTGAACCTGACATGACTGTTTGCCCCAAGTCCCACAATAGCAACTTCAGGCAAACTGACGCTGGCAGGCAGGGTTCCAGACATTTGCAAATCTGTAACGCTTCAAAACCTTTGCACTTTTGACAACAAGGTTTCAAACCCTCATGCATGCCAAGTTCAACAGTTGAAACTAAACTCAAAGAAAATGGCTTCCTACCCATGTCCTCCCTTTTTCCCGTCCTAGGCTTCAGCCTGACTTGCAGTCCGCATCCTTGTGCGACGGTGAAAGGCACAGGCGGCACTTATGGATCCGTTTAACGGCTCCACGACATTCTCCACCTGGAGGTACATCGGCGCAGCTTCCGCGGCCTGACGCCCAACTGTAGCAGATTTCAAGACCTTCCCTTTCCTTTACCCTTTTGGGTTGGCGCTCCCTTTGAACCACTGCCCGTCGAGGAACGATGTCTCGCAAGTTCTTCTCGATCTGCAGCAAGGCGCCTCTTTCGTGCTTGGCGTTTGTCCCTGTTGACTTTCGTCTTCCTTGATTCCACATGGCTGGAGGAAGCTGTACCTGCCGGTTCTGAGCTGACTCAATTGTCAGTCGGCGTCTCAGCTTCCCCAACTTCTCAGCACGGGCTGCATCGTCTGCTGTGTAAATCAAACCCCAGCATCGAGGCCATTGGGTCACCAACTTTTCAATCTGTCTTGAATACGCCTCCATAGACGCCAAACTGCAAATGTTCAGCATCAAGCAGGCCACCTTGAACACGTTCCACGATGCCCTCCAAGCACTGTGACTCGCTGGTCCTGGCAAGCCCTTTTGTAGGTATGAGCCATCACCAAGCGGTGTAAATGTTCTGCACTTCTGGATTCTGCTCATCCTCCTTTCAAACGGTGTCCAAACTGAGAAGTCTTGTATACGGGGCCCCTATTCTCTATGTAAACCCTCTTGTGCAAGGCCGCCAGCTGTGCTGATGTTGGTTCCTCAGCTTCGTCCGGCTGTGAGCCCATCACCATGACATAGTTCTGATACCACCTATCCACATCCATCGCCGCAGGGGGGAGGAGTTCTGACTCGTCATACTGATCAATCAACGAATTCATTTTACGCACCCTCTCTTTGACTCCCCCTCCAGACCTCCCCAAAGGTTCAGGACGGCCTGTATCTCCTTGAGGTCCTCCTCCTGCTGCTTCATTTACTGCTTCCATCCAAGGGTCCACGTCTATGAACTGCTCCTCGCTTACTCCCGATTGGGCTGCCACCACACGACGTGCCAGCCGCCATACCAAGCCCACCTGAGTCGCCTGGATGGGTGTTAGGATGCCCTCGTCGGTCTGTGCCTGGCCACACCCTGTGATCAACGCCACCTCAGGCAAGGCCAGTAACCGTAAGTCGGCCCCTGGCGACCCTACCTGGAGCTCGAAGGCTCGCCAGACCCTTTCCGGGACGGCAAAATGATCAAGGATGTCGTCCAGCGTCTGTATGTCCTGCATGCTGGCCCATGATCCAAAGAGCGCAGACATGGCGACTCGCGGCGCGCCACACCTACAGCTCCTTGAAATCCATGGGCCCAACCTTGAGCCAAAATTGGCCCGGGCACAAGGATCCCCCCTCCAACCCTATGTTTAACAAACTGCACTTGTTAGTCAGCACAGTTGCGCTTCTCAAAAAATTGACGTCTCCAAAGAGATTCAAGCTGGGCCCGCCTTGGCATTGCTGTCCTTCGAATCTAGCCACTCCAACATGGCCAGCACAATTGGTACAATTGGTACAATTGAAGATTGCGCCAGCTGTCAGAACATGTTCTGCTCTATCAATAGTTTCTCAACCCGTTGCCGATAAACCAAAAGTTGGCTCACTGCCTGCTTGAAAAACACTTATTATTCTGTAGGACATTTACTGCAACAGATTGGGTGTTTTCAAGTTTGTCTAAAAGAGGTGTACATAGTCACAATCATGGTTCTCATGCACCCTAGATGAAGTATATGGCATCATGATTATGAAGGGCGTGTGAAACAAATAAGGCATTTTTCCAGCATGGAACCGGTGCAAAGGATTGTGCCCCGAGGCAAAATCTTGCGAGGGCTGGACGCCTTCCACAGAATATCCATGCGATGAGGCAGGAATTATGCAATGTCAGGCTTTGTTGTCAAATCACTGGAGAAGCTTGGACGCACATGAGAAGCATGTCATATCACATTTTAAACCTCTACATGCTCAACGCCATCACCACTTTGTTCTGGTGCTGTCTTAGTATCGTATCTGCATTTGGCTGTAGTATTGTGCAGCTTGTGTTTCAAACGTAGATCCTGCTCAAAAGTTTGCAACCACTGCCAAGGCTGGAAGCTCTACGCTGCTGTTCTCGCCTTTCTCATCTCTGCAAACTGTTTGAGTCAAACTCATGTGGGTGCAGGCAGCAGGCCATAAAATCGATGAAGGCCTCCAAATTGTGCAAATGCGCTCACAACAACACCACAAAACTATAAATTACTATAAATCTAAATCGTGGCAAAGTCGCAAGACTCGAGATCTGCAGCTGATTAACCAAGCCTGACAATAGGTTCCCTATCCAGGACCACATTTGAGCTGCCACAAGGCCCATACCAGGTGGCCTGCAAGTGCGCACCGTTGCAATAGTGATGCTCAAGTTGTTCTGATTCCGCGTATCTCAATAGTACCACTTGACAAAATCCTGCCTCTCAAAGTCGTATCGGAAAACCAGCACCGCCGAAGTACCTAGCAGTCTTACTGATGGTTCCAAGCTAGTTCCAACTGCTTGGTTTCAGACCGTCTCGAACCAAAACCAAAAGCCCATTCCACATTGCCGCAATGGGAGGATTGGGAAGAAAAGTCTTTGACAAGCACGATTTGTGTCCATCCCTGCCATCTTCAGGACCCTGTGTTGAGAAATGGCATGCAGCTTGAAGCTGAATAGTTCGCTATCCTGTTTCTATAACTTATCATGCGTTTGATATTGGCCGGACCATTGGCGTGCAATGTATTGGTCACTCATCACACCAGTGCATGTTTATAAATATAATTCATCTGTAGAAGCCAGCAAGCACCTTACGCTGACGGGGAGATGTGCAATGTTGGTGCTAAAATGCACAATCATGTGTGCAATGTCGTGTAATCCCGGTGTCTCTACGCTTCATACCTTAGACTTTTCAGGCTGATCATTTTCCAACAGCCTGTGCTTCTAGACTTCTAGAGTCAGATAATATGTTTCAGCCGCAAGACTTCTTGCAATTTTCTTGATTGAATATTCCAATCACAAGATATGCAGGAGAGTAAGGGCAATGTGGCCTTCAAGTCAAACCTGCTTTCCAAGCAGGGATCTTTGGAAAACCCATGCCCCAAGACAGAATCTGGGAGTCCAAAAAACCCAAGAGGATATATATATATAATTATATCATATATAGTCCAATCGAAACAATATTGGATGTGCTTCAGTTGTAGTTGTAGTATACCTGAGTCATCAGAACCTAGGACAAAAAGCACATCTGCCAGCGAACCTAAAAAGGCCGCATAAAATGATATAATCGTAGTTGATGGTGTGAGAGATTGCCAGCCTACAGCTGCAGACTCGCCCTTTGTAGAAGGTAGGTTCCGGGAGGCGAAACTTCCTTTCATTACATAAAGACTCGATATCATTCAATATAGTTGTCTGCCATTGTAGATCAAGTTCACAACAAGAGACTTACACAAGCATCCATGATTCAGCCAATTCTGGGAAAATACAGAAACTAGGGAGAAAGTCAAGGGTTGTCTGAGGAGTTGAGTTGACAAGAGTTTGGGGTTAAACGAAGGTTTGGATAGTGAAGAATAGAGTCGAATGCAGCCACACAGCAGTTTCATACACAAAAGGAGCAGAGCCAGCATGACCCAAACACAATGCCGTTTGCAGCAGTCCATGCTTGAACCCAAAAAGGACCAAACGAGATAACAAGCAAAAGAGCAGAAATGCTTTTAGATTTCAAACATATTGAAATGAATGAAATGAGAAGGTGCTATGTTTCTGTTGCAAAGCAAGCGTCTGAAACAATATCCAGGCAACCCCATCAAGCTGCCTAGATTTGCTTGCAACATTTCTTGCCGGCCCCAATGTCATTTGCGTTTTCAAGAAGTGGCTGTGTTGGTGTAACAAGCTACGTACATGCATGCGCACAAAAACGGAAAAGGAAAATGTAATTAAGCCATGGAAAGTTCAAGTACGGCATCCAATTTTAGAGCATCGTCATGGCATTGTGGGGTAAAAAATGATGTTTGCAATGTTGAAACCGCATATGATATGGCATTCCAGCATCTTGAAATGAAGATTGAGCCAAACTCGCAAACCCGCCTGGCTACACTTACATCAAGCAGCATGCAGCAATTCACACAAAAAGCGGCGCGTCGCAAAAAACGATCTGCCGCAACCAACATCAACCACTCGAACAACCCAAACCTTTTGCAAGCACACATGCCAAAACAAGGAAAGATCCTTTGAGAGAATTCGGACAATTCAAGTTTCAAAAGAGACCGGTCTCAAACTCATTCCTCGACGCCTGCAACAGCCCTGCCTGAGCTGCCCTACTAGCAAAGCATTGGAGAAAACACAACGGGAAAGAGTTGTTTCAGGGTGGGGGGGCGCAGGGGCCCCAGTGGTCAGCTTTCATGCCTAGAATAAGAAAGTTTACAATGCCCCTCGCCACAGGACATTTCATGTATATAGTATATAGTATGTATATGTATTTCTGTGTGTGTGTGTGAGAGTCTACACAGTGAAGTAAACGGAATTCAGGTAGCCTCCATTCACTTTCGTGATGGTGCTCCCAGAATGCTTTCTTCCAGGAGATCTGAATGAACCATGCTTTAAAAGCTGA